GTATAGGACCCTTACCTGTTGCCATGACTTGGGTACTACTCCCCACGCTAGGCAACCCCTGTATATTCTGCAAAGATGGGGTAGTATGATTGCCTGCCCTTTTTGCAGTAATATAGGGTATATTTCATCCATTCCTGGAGATTTGAATGGTTTAAATTGGTTAATGGCCCATCTGATCCTTGTGGGTGTTACTGCTTCTTTAACTTATTCCCACTCTCGCCTTCCCGGTCTAGGAGACCTTTCGTAGTCGGCTGTGAGTCCCCTATGTCCCTTAATGGAATCGCTGTAGGAAAGTGAGCTTCCATCAGCACCTTTAGACTTTCTTGGACTGTTTTTGCGTAGGTGTTGTCCTCCTTTTTAAGTAGTTCGACAGCGTTGTTTGTGTTGTCTTTTGAAAGGAATTTGTGGATTCTTGAGCAAATGGGAATCTCGTTCACCTGTTCGCAAAACCTCCTCCAAAGAGTCCCGTTTACCCTTCCGTATTTCTTTATTATACTCTGTTAACTTTGACTATATAGGTCCCAGTCTTGGTTTACTTTGGCTTTGTTAAACAGCCTTCTCACGGTACTTCTCAGTTTCCCGAGCTTCCTGTTCCTTTTTGTTTCCAGTTTTTTTTGGACAGTTGTGCTTATATGCTTCGGTTAACGCTTTGCTTAGCAGCTCTACTGAATTTTCTATGTTCCCCACACTTCTGACCTCCACCGTCATCCCCTGTAGATCTTCATTGAGGGATGTTGAGTATCCTTCCCAATTTGTATCTCGGGGGTTCCTGAACAGTATTAATTTCCGTGTGGGGATTTTTATGTCGAACCTGATGTGCCTGTAATCGGAGGATGAAAGTTCCCCAGACACTCTCCAGTTGTGGATCATGTCGATTGCCCTGTTAGAACTGAAGGTTACATCTAGGGCTTCCTTGGTTCATTGCCTATGTTGGCTATGTTTAACCCTTTATTTAGTACAAACTGTAGTAAGGACTCACCTCTACCGTTGATGCCAGTGCTTCCCCACATTGTTTGGTGTGCATTGGCGTAGCAACCTAATATAAGCTGAAGTTTCTGCTCCTCGCAGTAGGATATAACATCCTCCAGAATCTGCGGGGGCACGATTTCTCCTCTCCAGGGAAGTAGGCCGAGCAGCTTTGTCCCCTTTTCCCCGTGGATGGTGATAGGATTGCTGTGACAAAATCGCCAGAGCAGAGCCCTGGGATAAGTACACAGTTTAACCTGTTGTCATGAATGATGCATGAACGAGGTCTAACAGCTGACCTATCGTACAATATCTTATCTTGTGATGGTTTAATGCTTGCTATTTTCCCATCTATAAGCCAAGGTTCCTGCAGTAGGGCAATACCAATGCCTTCCTGTTCAAATCTGCTACATAGCACGGCCGAAGCGGCCTTTGCATGCTGCAGAATTGCCTGCAGTAACCTGAGGTTCTCCTCTAATAGGTTGAAGGCTCCTGACTCGAGGAGGCACCCCCAGCCTCCGTCTCCATGGGCGCTTCGCCCCCCTCAGGGACCTGCGTCCTTTTCGGGGGGCCGACGCCTTGCGACGCAACCGGTTCTTCCGTGCCACTTCCTAGAGTGTGGAGCTCTTCAGGCTTTTGGACTTGGTCCTCTGCCTTGGCCTTTCCTGGATCACCACCTTCCTTGGCGCTGAGCTTAATTCTTCCTATGCCAAAGAAGGGTAGCATGTCTATCTTTTTAAGGTCCTCAAAGGACTCCTTATCCATTGAAAAGGTCCAGATATGGCCTTTTTCGGTGGGAATTTCCCGAAGACTGTCCACAAGTTTGTCTTCAGTCCCGGATTTCCCACCTGTAGCCTTTTTAGGATCCTTTCCTTGGATAGTGCTTCCCCATCTTCGTTCGGAACGAACAAGTTGCAATCATGTGGTTTGGGGATTTCTTTCCCCTCCAGCACTTTTAGCGCTGCTCCTTCCCACGGCTTTAGTGTTGGGCGCTTGCAGGAACCGCGCATGTGTGCACGAGATATCCCGGCCGGTGCATGCACTTGTGCAGTCGCACTTGTGGCCCGTCGGCCGGGACTTCCTCTTATGTATCCATGACGGACTTCTGTGTAGCCTTGAGTTGTTCTGGCCCGAGCTGTTCCTGTGGATACCACTCTGATACCACAGCAATTTTTACCACCGTCAGTGCCTCCTTGAAGGTTACCCCTCCCGCCTTTGCTTGAGCAGGTTTCTGGGAGGCGGTCTTGGCCTTCTTTTGGAGCTGTTTGTCTGGCGTATTGCCTTCCGAGATAGGACGCTTCTGGGACTTTCCCTTAGTGTCCTTATCTTTGTTTTCTGCGAGTCTCCCCGCGCCTGCTCTGGTGAAATTCTCCTTTATTACTGACCTTTTTGCGTCAGTATAGGATTTTCCTTCCTCCTGCAGTTTCTTAATCCTAGCGGTGGACTTGCCCGACAGACGGAAGAGCCTAATCTCCTGCTCCGTCATCGAGTCTGCCTCCTGGGTTGAGTTTATTCTCTTTTTGCCTTTACTTGTTGAGGGTCGTGACTCGCTAGCCTGTTGACCTTCAGCAGTATTTCGGCCTTTTTGAGTGGATGAGGTTCCGGGCTTGACGGACTTTGGATCCCCGTTTTGTTTGGTTTATTTTGGAGCTTTGCCCTTGTTGGGCTTCTCTTCTAGGGGGGTGTATTTAGAGCAATCTGACATACTGTTCCCACGAGTAGCTAGGGATTTACAAAAGGTCCGCTTGAGCAGAGCCCCGCATGCCCAAGTAAGTGAGGGGGTATCGCCTGGTGCCCCCAGAGGAACGTTGGAGACCGCAATATACCCCGGCGGCCATTCAGCCTTCGGCACGTTGCCTTACACCTTGGCTTGGGGACCTGTATTCCCGGGGCCCTTACGGGGTGCTATCGGGCCAGCTGAACCCTGGTTTTTTATAGAGGTTGGTACTCCTCTATGCCTGACCATTTTGCAACCTGGCTTGGGACAGGCTTCGGCGGGCTTAAGGTGACCTTGCTTTCCAAGGAACTGCTGAACCTCTTCCATTCCACCGGTTTGTGCAATTTAGATTAAGAAATTTTGTTACTTGGCAAGCATCGTGCTGAATCCACATTCGTTCTCTTACATGAAGAGGAACATCATCCAGTAATATTGGAAGATCATTTTCAATGAAACCTAATATAAGCGGACCAATAAGGCGGTCATCAATAATGCCACACCAAATATTCACCGAAAATCTATCTCTCTTGAAAATAAGATACCCAATGTTGAACGAGACGTTCAAAAGTAGCTGTAGGAATTTTGCCTGTTTCTTTCAAGCATTGCTAAACACAGTTCTACAAGGCAATCTACGAGTGCGAAAGGGTCCACCACGTTTATCAATTGCCGATCGTGCGTTTCCATTATACAATCCGTAAACAAAGTGAATATAGGCGTATTCTTCATTGTACCTTAGTCGTATCGTAGGACACCCTGTATAGTATACCCGTCTGCTTTAAGCGAGCGTACTTTAAAAACTGGTAAAATCGACAAGCAATGTTTCAAACGGATTATATTGTTCTACAGTGTATATTGTTAAACCGATCGCAAAATATAAGCAAATCATTAGAACAATCACCAAGTCCGTGCGTGAGGTTGTAGCGGCATCAATGAATCACGACAATTTAAGGCAATTTTACGCACGTTTGTTTTCAACGAACGCTCAAAAAGTTGTCTTATGACTCATTCATAGTAGTAAATTGGATAATCGCCGGCTTGTTCTTGGAAAAAGCACGGTGACATTATTATTAATTTTGCCGGTCCTGTAGCTATCATTAACTCGGTTACTTCAGAATTTTTTGGGATCTCGAGAAGTCTCCTTTAGAATGGGTAGATTTTCAATTATCCGCGACAATTTTGAAAAATTAAAAACAGATTAAAATTTGTTTTCGAAATAACAGCTAGCTGGATTGACCTTTCTTTGGCATTAGATTCAAAAAAATGTTAAAATTATTGAATGTTTAAAACAAAATTAATACCTGCATATACACATATATTCTAAATTAGGTTTACATTGTCTTGTTACATGCTCGGTTAAGTTAACAACTCAGCTGATCTTCACCGAGCTTATATGATATTCGTCTTTATTAGGTAAAAAATAAAAATTGAGCAAAAATTGAAAATTAACAAAACAAAAAATGTTTCACAAGATCAGTCTTTTCCAGCAGTAATTTTTTTACAATACTTGCAAATTATAATGTTAGAAAAATATCGAACAGGATTTTATTAAACAAAGATTACAGGCAATTATAATTAAAACAAAATAATATCATAACAATATCCATCATTTTTGTTTACAGACAACAGAAAACACACAGCAAAATCCAAATTCCAAAAAATATTTGAGAAGAGAAAGAGAGAGAATGGCTTTAGTTTTTTTCCTATCAACAGAGAGATTTTTCAGATCGTCATTCATATTCATAAAATAATAATAATTATACACGAAACTTCTAAAAATAGTCGAACGAAAACGAAGAAGAGATAAAATATTTACAAATCTTACGTTTGCATTATGGTAAATATCTAGGTGTATTGGTAGTTAATAAAAATAATTAGCCAAATGTTTATATAAAATTATTAATCCTCAACTAATTTAATTATTTTTTCGCTGATACTCTCGGAGCCTAAGCATGTGTGTCTGTGTATGCGTGTTTTTTTTTTTAATTACATTTAACCAACAAGTTTGAAATGTCAAAATAATTATCAAGTAAAATAAATCATCTCATTTAAACTTTTTAAAATTGCAAAAATAAACGCTCTCTTGCATTTTTTTTTACCTGCTACAAATTATACCTAAAAAGCGTGTAGAAAATTATTTTTTGCTTACCCTTATGCAACAAATTTTTACACATTTCAGCAATAATTCAATCTTTTAACAGAAACAACGACAATCGGTGGAAATCGCTAATGTGTTTGTTTGACTATAGTTCGTCACTGGCCAAATTACCGAAATAATTACAGACATATTTTTATTTGTTTATTTTAACGACGAGAACTATAAGCTAGCGTTTTTACTTCTTTGTAAAATGTTATCTCAGTGTCGTAAAATCGAACAATCGTAACTTCAGTTAATTCTTTTTTGCGTAAAATAAATAAGATAACCATCGTATACTTTAAAAACTAAGATCTTGGTTTGGCGACAACAGTAGAGGTACCTGTTGCAGAATTGTTCAGTGCTCGCGTCTAAACAAGCTCCTGGGTTAATGTTTGCAAGGTATGTGGCTATTTGGAGACTAAAAAATCAAAGACACAAATTTATCGATATTTTTAACAGTTTTTTTTTGTATAGTGCGAATGAATTGTTGTGCAGTTTTCGGATAGTTTTTAAGGACACCGCGTAATTTCCAACTTAAATCTATTCTGTCGATAAGATGAAACGCTCAGTTAAACTCTCGTCTAAATGCAAAGTTCTGATAAGAAAAGTTCGTCGATACGAGTACGAAAGGTGACCTAAATTGTTGACATTCGTTGATAACAGCAAAATCGGATGTTTAGTTATAATAGTTCATATGTATGTAATAATCAAAGGATGAAGGTAATTTACTTCATATACATATTACAAAACTGCAAAAAAAGGCATGTACTTTTTTTAACCACATTTTTGCTACTAATTTTTTTTTGCGTACGTAATAATAAAACCAAACAGAAGTCTGACAATGCAATAATAGACAGATATCGAAAGGAGTAAATTCATGTAGTTAATTATACAGTGCGCCCACAAAGGATACCTGGAAATATTCAAGCACTAGGGGCTTTCCCATTACGGCATTTGATCGCATACTCGGTTTTCGCGATCAAATCACAGTTAAAGAATTTTCTCAAGTGATAGCTCCGAAAATGGAAAGAGCAGAATTTTTTTTTAAGTATTAAGACGGTAGTTTCTTGACTACACAATTTCGATTATAAATTAAAGCTTATCTTCATGTTCATAGCAAGATCGGCAAAATTCTTCGAAAGCTGCACGTTTCAGTATCACTTGATGTGGACCTTTTTTGGTTACTTTTTTTATTTCTTTTAAGTTCTTTTTCCTTCAGGTAATTATCGAAATTATTTATAAAACTTAAAATGAGCTTTCTCTACAAGGAAAGTTACTTAGAAACGCGGTTTTTTTATATTTTTCCGAAGCATTGAAAAATAAATAATCTACTTTTATAATTCTATAACAGTCTTTGACTTTGCACGTTTAATTTAATTTATTGTTAGTATATCATAAATAAAAACCAGTAAACAATGTTGCACCAAAAAAAAATTGAATTAAAGTTCGGGGAACTATACAAACTAAGACCATTAGGTACAAAAACTTAACAATTATAGAAATCCAATTAACTTTGCAAACAAAGAAATTTTCCAAATTACAAAAAATAACTTCAATAACGCGTAGTATCTACTCGAGCTAATATAAATCTTATATTCGTTACTTAACATTCCAGTGTGCGTGATCTCTAACGAAGCTTAATCTGCGTGCTCTGTTATCTGCAGCAAGCGGAGGTGCATAACACTGCGATGCCAGTGCTAATATATAGCCAGTCTGACTTCTTATAATTTTCTCCCGACGGTTAAGGCAAAAATCCATACATTTGTAGCAGTTCGAGTAGATTACTTAGTACTACTAGCACATTTTCTGTTTCATAATAGTTGTGGTCGAAAAGCGTTTCTCAATTTGACTTCCCGTTCTCACCACGTTTTCTAGGGTGTGTTTTGATTTCCCTAAATCTTCTAACCATTCTAAATGTTGAATGATTAACATATAGTAAATTGACCACATAATGCATACTTCGTTCCTCTTCTAGCAAAGTTCTCAAGCACTCGTCTTGCTTAAATGAAGTACTCGATTTATCTTGTCGTTACGAAGTTGCTAAGTATTGACTTACCGAACTAATTCACACAAAAGAATAACCAACACTTAAACATCAATTTCACTTCACTTGTCAAACTGGAAAGAATTATTTGAACGACGTATATAACTTTTCAACTTCAAGAAGTACTAAACAAAAACTGCTTGACATAAGCCAACTAAGATTTGTAGTAGTAGATGCTACTATTTGGTAAATATTTTTTTAAATATTACAGATAAGTCAAAAAATGTAAGTAGTGAGTAAATTTCCAACAGGGGTTTATAAACCCCAGTTTTTTATAAGAGCTTCAGAGCTACTCTTTTTATATTCACATTTTTTAATTTAAGAATTCTGTGTCCTAATGAATTTTATATGTATTTAGGTTGTCAAGTCCCCATTTTCTTAGAACGTGAAAAATACTATACTTGGATACCCACATAACCTTAAATGTTATTGCCACATTTACCGATTTGTCCTTAAATATTTTTGTATTTATTTATACGTCGGGGTGGTTGCCTTCTATCGTTTTAGTTTTGGTTATCAAAAATTGACTTTATACAATGAAAATGAGAAATTGATTTCCGTTGCATTTAGATATTTATTTATGCTTCTCTTTTTTTCGTTCAAATCGAGTTCGATTTTCTCATTTCTAAGGAAGTAAATTTTATTGTTACAGATGATTACTCAACTCGACGATATCTGAAGAATTTTACCTAAGCGCATGGTAGATAGTAGTTTTGTTGACGACAAGAGGCAGTGAAAGGGAGAAAAAAACCATGAATTCTACTTATCCGCAAAATTTGCCCGTTGACGCAATTAGTTTTAGAATAATGGATGACGAAGGCAACATCACAAAGGAATCCATAAAACAATGTTTGATTCCCCCATATCCGGCAAAATACATTATAAATATTATAGCCACCGTTATAAGTAAGATTCATTTTATATTTATTATCTCTCTACAGAACGTAGTCAACAAAATAAAGTTAGTACTAACCAAACTTAAGTGTATAACCATTTATATTTTAATTAAATTAATTTAATTATATATATCAAAAATATCCCTAATTAGTTTTACTTTTCATTTTTACTTTAGTGATGTTAAATACGAACAATAAGAGAAGCTGTTTTAATTAAATTTTGTATCGGTTAATGTAAAAATATGAATAAAACTGGATTGTTAGGTATTCTAAAAGTTTAACAAGCTGCATTTTAAAAATTATGCCATTTGTTTAATTTTTTTACTTTGGGCGTTTAATCGTTATTCAACTTATTCATTTGGCAAAATTCTCAACATGAGCTACTAACAAAATATGTTATGCCTATGATGAAAGATTTTCTGTAACCTCTGTAAATCGCCTTACCGGAATTAACAGAGCAGACACAGACACGTTCCCGTGTGATATACGACGATAAGAAAATCAGTTGATACTACGCTTAATGTACCTGTTCCAGCATAGATCTGGCTTATTATTAAATCTTTGATAATTCTAATGTAAACATATATTCCTAGCAGTCGCGATGTTTTCTTCTGTTAACTCCTTAATAGTCCAATTAATTTATTCTAAATTCTTGCAAATGTAAGTGATGAAAAACTAATTTCGGAGTTATTTAAAATTTTGAAGTTTTCAAAATTCAAAAAGCTAGCCCGTAAGCTGAGGAAACTTTTCTTATTATATAATTCCAAAATAATATAATAAAAAATACTAATTTTATGCACCCCTGCTTAGCGACTTTTTTTTATTGCAGGTGTGACGATTCTATTGCTCATCTACTATGGCATCATACCGACTCACGAGCAAGGATTCTTTTGTAGAGATCCATTATTCTCTCATAAATATCAAGGCAACACGGTTACCCCCTTATTTTTGGCATTCGGAATTCTTTTCCTCATTGCGCTTGTATTAACCACCCAACACTGTATAAGAAAAGGTGCAAGAGCGATCGTAACATGGGAATTCATCTACGAAAATTATTACCTCGCAAAATATTTTGTCCTGGGTGTTGTGTTAGTCGGGGCGATAACAGAAATAGCGAAATCTATAATCGGAGAACACAGGCCCGACTTTTTTGACGTTTGTAAACCAGATACTAGTGTTAACTGCACGGAAGGCGTATACATCTACACATTTACCTGTACGAATAATGAATTCGGAACTATGGATTTGGTCGATGCTTCAAGATCCTTTCCAAGCGGACATTCGTCTATAGCCTGGTTTATAGCCATTTACTGTGCTGTAAGTTTTCAAAGATTTTCTATTATGTATAGATAGAATGCACACCTTTCAGTTTTTACCAATTCACATATTTCACATAGTTGGGACATGGGACTGTCAGCGTATCTTTTAAAACATTTATAGTATTACAATATTTATCAAAGTAAGAAATTTCTAAATACCAATTCTTTTTTTTTATTATTAAAATAGAATAATTATGCATTTTCTCATTATTAATTAAAATATAATTTGATGATTAGTCCTTCACGTCTATTGTTCTCGTTTCGAGAAAAACAAAACGTTTTGAAATCGAAATTTTCTCCATTTTAAGTGAAAAAACTTCATATGAACGCATGCCCTTAAAGTCTTAATTTTTGAGATACAAATTAAATTAACTCTACGAAAACACAGCAACGCGATTCGCTAATGACATATATATATTTAATATTTTTGATAAGAAAAACACAAGAGAAAAATAATTACCTGAAAAACTGTAACCTGTACCTGGCAATTGGTAATAAAAAAAAGGCAAAATACCTCTTGCCACACAAATTTGAATAAGGTTAATTTCAATTCAAATCGCAGTTAAAGATCCTTTGAATTGTTTTTCTTTTAATTAAGACCATATTCTTTGCACTGGGGAGATTGTAAAATTTGTGATTAGCGTTCACGAACATCGAAGTTGGGTGAAAAAGTAGAAGGACGCTGATGTGGTCTAAACCAAATCAGCTTTCGCTACTCATCCTTTGTCCACTGTTTTTCTTCAAAGAGTAAAAAACTTCATCGGCAGAGCTTAGAAATCGCCATGGCGAAAAAGAGTCCTATCCTTGAATGCGTTGATTACGTTTTCAATTATGAGTCGACCATAGTTTTTAATAACATAAACTGTAGGGTACAATATAATTTTTTATATTTTAATATATATATATATATATATATATATATATATATATATATATATATATATATATATATATATATATATATATATATATATATATATATATATATATATATATATATATATATATATAAGATATCGCGACGCAGTTGTATCCTGTAAAACCTACCCAGGCGCAGACATACCGTCAGATCGCAATCTGTTGTTGGCACGCACTAAACTCCGATTAAAGAAAATCGTCAAAAAAAGGCACTCAAAACGCATTAACGTACGGAAACTCCAACAAGAAAACATACTACAGCGAACCAGAGATAAAATTAACAACGAACTAGGCAATATCTCACAAACAAGCAATCACGGAACAGAAATAGAAGACCTTTGGAATAGAATAAAAACATCCATAGTCTCCGTCACGGAAGAAGAGCTGAGGCAGGATAAACAGGCGAAGAGACAGGAATGGATGACGGATGCTATACTGGAACTTATGGAAGAAAGGAGAAGTGCATCGGAGAGTTCTGAGAAAGATCAAAGAGACCAAGGAACAGTGGCTGCAAGAAAAATGTGCTGAAATTGAGATACTGCAGGCAAAGCACGATAGTTTTAACCTCCACAAGAAAATAAAAGAAGCAGCAGAAACACCATCACCGAAGTCGACAAAAAACTAGCAAGATGGAAAGAATATATGCAGAAACTCTTTGGAGAGGAAAACGTAGACAATGTGGCTGCAACGGTTAACACTGAAGGGCCTACCATCACACAAGAAGAAGTGGAAGCAGCTATCAAAAGGTTAAAAAACAACAAAAGCCCTGGACCAGATCAAATACATGGAGAAGTCCTGAAGCTACTGGACTCCGAACAAATAAAACTGATAACCACCCTTTTTAACAAAATCTATGTAGCTGGCCAACTGCCAAAAGATTGGCTGATGTCAACATTTATCCCGCTACCCAAGAAAGCGAACGCAACTAAATGCTCAGAGTACAGAATTATAAGCCTGATGAGTCATGCTTTAAAGGCCTTCCTCAATATAATACAAGCACGAATTTACAAACGACTCGACGAGAACATAAGTGCTAATCAGTTTGGCTTCAGGAGAGGACTTGGCACTAGAGAAGCCTTGTTCGCCATACAAGTGCTGATCCAACGAGCACGGGACGTCAATACAGACGTTTTTACTTATTTCATAGACTTCGAGAGGGCTTTCGACAGGGTTCGGCACGATAAGCTCATCGCAATGCTACGAGAATCAGGAATGGACAACAGAGACACGGAGATCCTAGCAAAACTATACTTACAACAAAAGGCTATGGTTCGAGTAGAAAACAACGTCAGCAGAATTTAGCGTTGGAAGGGGAGTGCGCCAGGGCTGCATACTGTCGCCTCTCCTGTTTAACGTGTATTCAGAACATCTATTCAAGGAAGCATTGGATGATACAGAGGACGGACTTGTAGTAAATGGTCAAATTATAAACAACTTGAGATATGCGGATGATACCGTTCTTGTGGCCGACACTGCCGAGGGAAGGATACGGTATGAAGATAAACTGTAAAAAAAACACAAATATTAATTATCAGTAAAAACGATATTGGAAACCTACAGTTTACTGCAAACAACGAAGCCATCAAAACAGCAGAGACAGTTACATACCTGGGCTGTACTTTGAACAAAGATTGGGACCACTCTCGAGAAATAAAGTGCCGAATCGAAAAAGCAAGAAGCACATTTAACAAAATGAGAAACATAATCTGTAACCTATCCCTCAGCGTCCGCACTAGAATAAGGGTCCTGAACTGTTATGTTCTCTCGGTCCTCCTTTATGGGACAGAAGCATGGACCCTTACCGATGCCTCGTGCAAACGTATAGATGCCTTCGAGATGTGGTGCTACCGCTGCATCCTCAGAATTTCGTGGGTACATCATGTGACAAATAAAACGGTCATTGAGCGCATCGGAGGAGAAATGGAATTCCTAGCAAACATCAAACGCAGAAAACTGGAATACTTTGGACACATTATGCGCAATGAGAAATACCACCTACTCCAACTCATCTTACAGGGGAAAATAGAGGGTCGACGATCGGCAGGACGCAGACGAATATCGTGGCTGCGGAACCTACGTGCATGGACTGGAATGACATCAACAGCCCTATTCAGATCCGCAGTAAACAAAGTAATATGGACCAACGTGATAGCCAACGTCCACAGAGGACCGGCACTTTAAGAAGAAGAAGAAGATATATATATATATATATATATATATATATATATATATATATATATATATATATATATATATATATATATATATATATATATATATATATATATATATATATATATATATATATATATATATGATGACACTATATTCCGGGATATCATCCGTTCGCTCGTTGAACTCCGACTGGAATCCTGCATCCGACTGGAATCCTGCAAATCTTGCATCCGACTGGAATCCTGCAGACGTTTCGCCAAAATCTCACTTGGCATCTTCAATGCTCGCGCTCCGAAAACACTTCGAACACTTTCCAGTCGGATGCAAGATTTGCAGGATTCCAGTCGGATGCAGGATTCCAGTCGGAGTTCAACGAGCGAACGGATGATATCCCGGAATATAGTGTCATCACATTTTTCCATCCGTGAATCAATACGTGAGAATATATATATATATATATATATATATATATATATATATATATATATATATATATATATATATATATATATATATATATATATATGTATTTATTTATTTATTTATTTATTTAAAAATTTCCCTTATAGGCCTGAAGATGTCCGTGCAGGTGTAGGACGTGTAATATTTATTAATAAAATTTAAGGATTCAAACACACTCAAAACAAATTTAGGTATCTAGACCTGTTTCTTAGTTTGTGCAGTTTTTTGCTGGTCCACAATTAAGGAACACTCTGTATATGTATATCTTCTTCTGTAAGAAGCAAAAATTTAACAGCATCTCTTTGGATATTAAGGAATTTGGGGCTGGATTTATGTGAAATCAAATTCTCATGTGCACGAATTTCAGCAATTTTATTCTCTAAGATATCACATATACTTACAATTATATTTTAAAATTAAGGAATGAAAAAAAAATGTATATGAAACAGTACTATACATACTCACGATAAGGATGGTTTTCCATGTTAATATAACACACACGAATTTGCTTTTTCTTATCAATTGGTAAACATTTTTTTCTGTATTTTGAAAAAATCTTTTTATCTTATCTCGAATTATCGAACATTGATTTGTTACAGTATATCATTCAAGTTCGGCTACCAGTGAAGACTACCGGAAGCTTCTTCAAGATATTTATGATTGTCGTTTGCGTGTCTTGGGGTTCTCTTTGTTCGCTGACCAGAATTACCGACAGAAGACATCATTGGTGGGATGTTTTGTTTGGTACTGTTATTGGAATTCTTGGAGCTATGTATGTAATCGTAGTTACGGAAAATAAATACAAAGAAGTGATGACTGAAACTGTCACCCGAGAGAGATCCAGAACCGATTTCTGCGATGCCTAAAAATTCTAGATTCAATTGACTAGGTTATACTGACTTATTGATTTTAAAACCTATAGAGTTTTGAATTGATCAGATGGTGTAGCTCCAGTAACATTGTAGGTCTGTGATATTAGTGCGTTTATTGTAAAAAGACGTTTTCAATAAAATTATTTCATTATGTTTTTTCATCTTGACATAATTGTATGCATTCCTTTTTTAAATCTTTAAGGAGATTGTCAAACGCAATTCGTATTTTATAAATGACTCATGCTGATGAAAACATATATGAAATCCAAACGTACGGTTATTGCATTTTTGCGAGATATGTAGAAAAGCAAATTAGTCCTAGTTCTTAAGTAGAAAGCGCTCCTGGCACTGCATTAAACCATAAGAGGGCATGACGAGATGTCCATAATTTTCAAAATAGCTTGGTAAATAGGAAAATCGTGATAATTTTTTTAATATGTCTGTACTTTTTAATTAATCTGAGTGATAATGTAAATTTCTATCAAAGCAAAGGATGCGAAAAAAAAAAATAACCTCGCAACAATGTGCCTGCTGCTTATGTGAAAGCATTTAAACTCATCGTTTGAAATTCGTTTAATTAATTCTGAAACATGCTGCGGAACGGATGAGAACGTGTCTAAGAATTTTGAGTGCCTCCACAAGTGGCGAAAATTTATGAAATTGATTCAATTTTATAAAATATCTTCGTTTTGTTAAATGGTATATTAATTAAAAATGTTGCCGAAAAAAATCCATATTCAAACTGAAAACTGTTGAATAGGACGGGCGCATCAAGATCTTATTAGTTAAAACAGAGATTGAAATGACAAGTCTTATTTTTTATGTTGGCTTCAAAAATGCCTATTCAGCATATTGTCTACATCCCTATTTAGGGATTGATTCACTAGCCTTAATTATTTGTTCGAAATGTACTTGCGCTTTTATAACCATTTTCCGAATGACTTGGGGTCTTGATATAATATCATTGTAATGAACAATAGCAGCGCCTAATTTTGTAATATTTATCATTATTTCAATCACCATTTACGCTTTATTATTCCCGGCTTAATCGTTAATCGATTGACCTACAGTAAAAATAATTTTGTTGGTATTAATATTGTAGAGAATATCAGCCAATCGTTTTTACCATAAAAATTGCATAAATTATTGTTTTAAGGCCAAACTAGTCGTTATCAATGCTGCTGTTGGAACGCAAATCCGAACAATCGATGAAAATTACGAGAATTATCTGCAATCTACGTGTTAGTTAACTGCGATAGTCAATCTTCATTAAGGCTGAGTTCGTAATTAGATTGTATTGAGTACGAAAATTGGGTTTTGTTAACGGGCAAACTACAGTGCAGGTACAGGTGGTCCATTTTTTTTTTGCAGCAAACATTTGTTAATAGAATTTGTCAGTTTTTATGTACTGGATGCGTTTTTTAGATTTAAAAGTCTTTTTATGGTGGTTGGTTTTGATTTTAACAACATCGATTTTCTACAGAACATGTTTCCATTTATTTTATCCATCATGTGAATACTAAATAAAATGTCCGTTGGACGGTCACTTTTAGGCATACGGTGTGAAAATTAAAATATTTGACCACAATAAAAATTTAATTATACCTATAGCCGCTCTAAAATCTTGTAAGTAATATTATATGGTAATACTTTGTATTTGTACTTAAACAAACATTGTCAAACATATAAATGGTACAAAAAAGACCGTAAAGATCTACCTACAATGCAAAAGTGGGAGGAGTGTGGATGTAAATTTCAGCGATTAGAAGCTGAATGTTTAAACTGAATAATTAAACCCATCGTGAGCAATTATGCATATATCTACTATCTACTCTATCAAGCTCATACAATCGGGTTCACTGGTATGAATCTGGACGGTATGTCTGGAATAGGGTTAAGCAACATTGGGATAAATTTAAATAATTTTCAATAAAATGTTACCTAAAAACAAGCAACGCATAACCTTTAAAAGCAAATATTTTTTTTTGTAATTTTATGATGTATTCCAGGCATATTCAGTCAAAATTAAAACTAGAGATCATACTTATAGAAGTAAGTCACATAGTCAATGTTGAATACCCAGACAAGACATGTTTTATACTTCAAAGTTTGATAACATAGAACTTGATACTCAAAATATTATTATATTAATTGTGTATGAAATTATTTTGAATTGTGTTAAGTTGGCTACTTATTAATTTCTGTACATTTTTGTATCGAGGAATGTTAATTTTATTAACTAATTTGGGGTTTCCATAAACGGGGAAAATAAAAAGCCTTTTTTGCAAAAAAAATTATCTTTCAATTTTTTATAACATTATTACTAATTTATATTTCTTAAAACTTTTGATAAAATATAATTTGGTCTAACAATATGTCCAATTTTACCTACAAAGAGACACATAGATTCTTTTTTTTTATTAAAATCCACAGTTCTTTATTTTAATATAAAGCTTATTTATTATTGTTCAATTGAGATTTCTTTCTATTTGTGATCCAAATTTTTCAATTTGATCCCATACTGAAATTATCTTTCAGTTTTATAACCCTATTATAATACGACCAAAAATATAGTGCATTTATTGCTTTGACGTTTTAAGTATTTTATAGTACCTCAACCGCAGGCCATCGCAGGACCGTGTTAAGACCCATCCCAACAGATGTTTATTCTATATTAAGTAGGTCTTGCCTGAAATGGACCGTAACGAATATTTGTAGAAACTTGAATTTTTTATTTGAAACGTAAATGGAATTTTCGAGTAAGTAGAAGCGTTTATTTAAACATCAGAAAATATGTATCGTTTTTAAGAGTTTAATCTAAGTTTAATTCCAGTCAGTACGTATTTATGTACCTGATTCTCGAGCTTTAACCCTACGAGACTGTTTTCACTGGATAGTTCAAAGATAAGTTTGAAAATAATCACTTTTGTCTTGTGTGCCTGTCGATTCTTCTTCTTGTATTTTTGGATCTTCTACATAGTTCTTCGATTTGTAAACAACAACAGTCATTTTTAAGACTAGATTATATTTACGGTAGATAAAGTTACGTCATAGAATACAGATAAATATTTATTGGAATCTTACAATTAAACATTTGTTGAAGGTACTTGTTTTTTAACACTTTAAAATGTGGAGACCGTTTAATGAAGTAGACGTTCCGTCAAACAAATTGTTTTGAATGTTTTCAATTTATATTTTATAGAAAGGGAAGTAGGAGTAGCAGTAAAAATAAGTGACATGACCAATGTTCCGAAGCCAACTGAAAGAAAAATTGTCGCGAATGGAATAGTCAAAAGGAAAGTGAGAGAAGATACTGGTACTTCGAGAGCAACACGCAGATCTAATTACGACGCTTGTAAAGTGAATAGTGTTTTAACCCTGGAAGAACTGCATAAAAAAGTTCTGACATAATTAAACATTAGTTGCCCCAAAGAATCGTTGCGTACTTTTTTGAGGAAAATGAATTTTCAGTTCTAAACAATTAATAAACGTCAAGTGCTAATGGAATCTCAAAAAAAATCGCAATGGAGGGTGGATTATTTAAATGCAATTGAAAAATTTTGAGAGCAAAATAGGTGTATTTGGACGAAACGTGAGAAATTTAAAAAATTCTGTACGAAAATCATTTATATTTTGAAGAGAGCTACACGAAAAAATTAACTTTAAAATAAAATATTTTAATAAAGACTACAAAATAGGTTCGATAGCACAACAAAACGGACATGGAATCTTGAGATTACCCCCGTATCATTGTATATTTAACCGGGTTGAGATGATTTGGTCTGAGTTTAAAGCGCATAGAAGAAGAAATAATACTGCAACAAAATTTAGTGATGGTACCATAAACGTAATATCACTACAAAGCTGGTCTAAGTGTGAAAAACCGGTTATAAAAGAAGAAAATATTTATCGAGAATTATTAGTGGCGGAGTAGATCATTGAACTTGGTGACGACAGTAGCGATAGTGACAAGTTTTTAAGTGACGGATACTTTATCATTATATTTCATATTCTGTATATTAATAATGATACTATGTAGAAATGTAATGAAATAAATTGTTACTTTGTACTAATTTTTTATGTACATGTTCATGCACAGGTTTTTATGTATAAACCTTACTCATTTTTGTTAAAAAAAAACGTAGATTACTTTTTGTCAGAGATCGCGCAGCCGATCGTCTGAACGTGAAATCCTTAATCCGATTGTCTCAATAACATAAAATACGCAGCAAAAACTCAAAAATATCTTTTTCCATGTCTAATTTAAGAACCTTCCATGAAATTTTGAACTTGTTAACATTACACTAACATTTTATATTATTTTAAATTCTCCGATATTTTCCAACCTTGTACGAATCTTGTTTTTGGAATACAGCCATCTGAAACCCTAGATAGCATCTTATAGAGCACCTATCCACTACAGACATTTGCTAAGAAGCATAGTTATCCTGATTTTACTAGAAAAAATGCACTTGTTGTTGAAAGCTCTTTTACACTCTGAAAAGAGCACCGAATGGCAGATTCGGCGTTGTCTGTAATGTGAGTTAAGTTATTCGATACAACAGCGTTTTTAAAAAGTTATTTTTATTAAATGATGAACATAGTTTGTGCTCTATGGCCGATAAATATCTCACTAACTAACTACAATGAATAGACAACAATATTAAAAGCGCATCGTTGCCGAATCAGCTTCTCCGGCGTCAGCATTCCTAGACTTAGGTGAATTCCACCCTTACAGACAACTATACCGTTAGGGTAGTTGTATAGGCGGATGCTCGCGCTGATGGCTCTGGTTGCTACTCTTCCTTTTTCCCAACATTGGGCGACATTTTCTGTAGATCAGGTAGCCACAGGAAATCATCAGCAAATGAAGGGTTTTCCAAGTGTTCTTCAAGTGGAGTAATTGACTTGTTTATAATTACACGATCCCTTAATTCTTTTCTAAGTGAATACTTAGATTTAATGTGGGTATTAAATCGTTATTATTATTAAAATCAGGAAATAGTAACTTGTGCATTAAGAACATGAGCAATTGACCCATACCCCATCCGTTGCGGTGGTCTATAGACATGGCCAACAAATTTATTATTGTGTGGCACTTGCGTATCGACTACATCAAATTCGTATGCAGCAAGCTTCTTTTGTTATCCATTT